AAATTGGGTCAGAGAGGGTAAAAATTATTAGATGAAGAAGAAGGACACACACAACACACAGACTCATCCACATGTGCACACACATACATGCACTTTTTTGGAAACCAGCCTAAAAGAGGAACCAAAGTAGTGAAACTTCACAGCTGGTAGGCCATCCAGAGGATGTTTATCCCAAATTTCAGCATATCGTTTTAGATCACATTTTGACCGCTGCCCTCTGGGCACAGTTTCACTGCTAAACGCACCATGGAATAAATACCAAGTGCTGGTGGAACATGAGTAATCCCTTCTCAGAGAGAATTACTTTGCTGATGGATACCGGGGAATAAATGCAGCTTTTAAAAGCAATAACTTGTTAAACAAACACACACAAGCAAACCCCACTGAAGTTGTTTGATGTAAGCCGGGGAGAAGCGTCTCTAAATCACATAATTATTTTAGAGACAAAGGCACATTTGTCTAAACTGGTTCAAATCACCTTTAGGGAAGGAGGAGAGAGGGTTTGCATCTGCACCATTAAATGCTTTGTGTTCCTGCAGCTCACCCCAGACTGCAGCCAGAGGATTGCCAGACTTGTATTTTGATTGCACTAAAGATATTCATATGTGCTAACAAAGTAAAGCTGATTTCCTTGAGCTTTAGTGGCTTCCTGTGCCATGAAGACAAAAATCATTGCTTTCTTGTCTGTCTGTTTCAGCATTTTTTTGGTTTCACTCTCCCAAAAGAGAAGAGAGTTGATTAACGCAAGCAGCTTCTTGGCAGTCCTTGAGGGCTGTTTCTCAGCCTGATGCTGCCATAGCCTCCTCCTTTGACCAAAGCTCATCCCTCCGTGCTTAGAAGAACCCTGCTGCTCTACCCCAGGACATAGTAAGCCATACTAGCTGGGAAGCAAGCTCGTGCGGGCAGAGCTGGGATGGAGCCACGCTCTCCTTTGAGTGCCCTGCCAGAGTTCAGAGACTTGCAGAAAAGTCTCTGCTTTATGTCCCTGGCATTGCTATGATCCTCGAGCAGTGCGTTCATGCTGCATGCATTGCACACACCACCCCATTGCTGCCTAGCCCATCTCAGCTTCCTTCCAACCTACCCACTAAAAGAAGCATCAGGTGACAGGACATCCCATGGAAAGCCTATCGGGCTCTCACTCCTAAAATCCCTGTGGTGAAATGAACTTTTCCCCCTCCCCTGAGTTTCTTAGTGATGGCTTTATACTAAACCCTTGCAATACCGGATGAAATGCATGCCAGGCAGGTGAGCAGATGAGCAGACCCAGTCTGCTCATTTGGAGTCGGCGAGCGCTGCTCCTGGGACACAGCGTTGCAACTGGAGCAATGTGACCGCTCTCCGATGGGCTCTCCTCACACCTTACTTAAGATCGCTTCGTGAGTGTGCCATGCCCTGAAGGATGCGTCCCCGCCTGGACTGTGCCACACACATTCCTGAGCAGTCACCCATGCAGCCTCCCCGCTGCTCCCTGGTGGGACACTGATTTTACCAGCTGCCCCTTGGCCAACTTCCGCTTGAGAGAAGTCCCACAGGGTCTCGGCTGCCCACGGGCGTCCCCACGCCAAGGATCTGCAGAGGATGTGCTCATGAATGGGAACAGGGGCCTGGGACAGACGGAGATGATGTGTCACCGCTGCCGGGGGGGAAAGCTGTTGAAGGAGCTGCGAAACACACTGCCTCTTACCCCTAGATGGAGCTCGGTGCCTGCGGTTTGCTCTAGGATGGCCCCGGAGGGCTGGAGCAGCGAGTGGGGCTGGAGCAGGGCGGGGGGCAGAGGGCAGGCTAGCAGGGGCCTGGGGTCCCACCAACCCTGCCTCTCCAGCCCACCCACGGGTGCACAGCTGGCAAGGAGGCCACTTGGTACGGCCTGACTGTGGGAGGATGGCGACACTGTGCTCCGACTTCAGCTGCTTTCACCCCCAGAGGGGCAGCGGCCACACATTTTGGGGGGAACACCGGCAGCTGTGACCACTATTTGGGTCCTCTCTGAGGCTCTTGTGCAGGGGGTCGTCTTGCCCTAAACCTTCTCCCTTGGGGGAACCCAGAAGCCCCTCTCTCCACCTGCTCCGGGGGGGCCTGAGGTCCCCTGTTTGCTATCCAGAAAACAGCCCTTAAAATAAGGGCAGGCTTATGGGACCAAAATGGGGGACCTCCCTGGGAGGGGGACACTGGGGTGAAGGACCCCGAGTGGCTCACATGAGGGATCAGACCTGTGCAAGGCAGTGACTGCGGTGCTCACGGGCAACAACCGCCTGCCCCCGGCCACCCCATCTCACATGTGAAGGGGTCTCCACTCCCCATCACCTCCCTGCAATCCTGCTTGTTGGCAGCGAAGGGGTAGAAACAGGCTCCCTGAGCATAAGGAGCCGTTAAGCAGCATGACACCATCTCTTCGCCTCTTTTGGCGGTGTCTCTGGCCACAAGCTCTCTTGAGAAACCATTTCCTCTAGATAATGTTACAGGTGTGTCTCTGCCTACCTCTGGGTTTTCTCTGCCATGTTTCTGGTGTGCTCCCCTGGGGATTTTGCACATGCATGCGCATCCCACCAGTGAGCCAGCTTTGCGTCGGGGTCCACACAAACGCCGAGATAGTCTGGCAGCAGATGTTTCTGGGGTGAGCTCTGTACTGCCTCGCCTGACTGCTATAAGCATGTGAGGAGCTGAGGAGGAGCTTGCCTCCGTGCAGGCCCCACTCCACGGGAGATATATCCTAGATCTGCAAAGGAGAGACTGTGGGAATGGTCTGTGAACCCACAAACACGTCCGTCTTGTGTCAGTCCCCCAAGAGCATGCTCTGATCTGCATGTATCACCTCTCGCCATTGGAAGCGGCCGTATTAGCCATGGCCACGGCAGGTTTTAGACCTGTCATAACAACCGATAAGGTTTCAACATTTGTTTTCACTCCATGCTGAAATGAAAGCCAGCTCTCTCCCAGCAGTTGCACCGAGACTGGGGGCAGCAGGGAACATCCCCTTGCTTGCCTCAGCGGGTGGCTGCATTCGTGGGCAGGACACCAGGGACACGTCCCTCCACAGGCACAGGTGTCCCTCCAGCAGGAGGGGGACAGACCCTGGCAGTGGCAGAAAGCCAGCAATGGGTATCAAACTTGCCCACACTTAATCCGGAGGGCAGCGCTCTAGATACACCCCAGGGGCTCTGGCCCCACACCAAGTCCACGTCAGCAAGGAACGACGCAGATACGACCTCTGCTTCACTAGCAGCCTCATGGTGCAGCATCTCCAGACCCTGCAAACTCCTCCAGCATGCACAGCCCGCATGGACTTCCCACGTGGCAGCCAGGCCATAGGGTGCAAACCCTGCCAGGGAGCAGCCCTCCTCCAGCTTGCTCTGCTGCAAACACTCCATGACCTGGGGAAACTAACAGCTTTTCTTCCCACCACTTTTGAAGGAGCATCTTCCACCGCTTGCTTTCCCGTCCCTCAGGGCTCCTGGGGACCTGCTGGCGCTTGGACTCTTCTCCCCCATCCTGGTCTCAGGGGACTTGGTGCCCACCAGGGTCAGCTTATTCCTGAAAATGGGAAACTGTGCAGAGGCCCGGCACAACTCAGCACACTTCAGGGCTCTCTTCCTGACAAAGCCGATGAACGAGATACTTCATCTATGCCTCGTTTTCCCCTTTGGTACTTTGCAAGGGGAGATCTCGGGGTCGGGGCCTGCCTCTCGCAATGCTCACGTCCCACATGCCCAACACCCCAGGCCCAGCCGTGCGCCTGCTGACCATCGGCATCGCAATCGAAATTTAGCCAAAAGCTGGGAGAAGAGGAGTCCAATGGGCACCGACACGCACCAAACAAACCGTGTGCTGGCAACGGCCAGGGAAGAGCAGGTATTGCTGAACAAAACAACTCTCTTAAGATATCTTAAAACTTCCTCTTGCAGAGGCATGGAAGTCCCTGGGAAACAGACCTTCTCTCCATGTTTTCATGTGTCCCAGTCCCTTTGGGCTGTTTTCCAACTGTAGTAGGAAAAAAAAAAGTATTGATTGATTTTTTTTAATTGCTGGTTTGTTATTTTTAGGCTACTACCATCTATGAGAGACAGACAGTTAACTGCAGTCTTCTCAGCGACAGCCAGGGCTTACATTCTTCAGAAGAAATGGGAAAATGAGTTGTCTCAAGCCTTACTTGCTCCTGCTCCAAACTTAGGTCAGAGGCGCTCCATCTATTCCTGATCATTTTTATTTTTGCTCCAAAAGCCCAAATGCAAAGGGAGGCACAGCAGTAACTAATGAATTTCCAGCATAAATGGACAGATTGATTTCACTCAGCATTACTTGACTCGAAATATTTGTCAGCTCTCAGAGTTCAAAGCCAGATGCACGAGGGATTTGTGCACCTTCAGTTCTCAGAGTTTCTGCTGGAGCTTGGCATGTAATTAGGAGTTACACATCCAAATGCCGCTGCGAATCTGGCCCTACAGTCTCACAACTACTTGCAAGAAGAAGAAAGTCAGGAAATAAATTTCCACACTTGGAAAGTGTAGCTTTTCTGTGTCTTTGAAAAAAAAATTTCTTGGAGTACAGTTTTGAGTTTGACTTTTAGAAAATCTGTAATATTCACTTAAAATTAGCAAAATAACAGAGGGTTTCTCATCAACGGAAGTGAAGAGGGGCAAAGAACTTTATGTCCTAATCTTGGGCAAGCACTGAAATATCTCATACTCTTCCTACCGCAACAAAGGCCAAATAGAAAAATCTGAGTCCCTGACAGTTTCGTAAATAAAAGATCTCCAAAAATGGACACAGTCTGCCTGGTTTGATTCCATCACAAGTTTGTTGTGATAATCTGTACGTTTGTGTGCTTCTGTTCTTTGCATAACATTTAAAAAAATTAAAACTAATTTTTCTTCACAAATTGAAACCTTTTCGTTTAAAAAAGGTCACAACAGGATGTTTTGATAACTCCAATTTTGATTTCATGCGTGCTTTTCAAATAAGTGATGGTTAAAGCTCATTACTGCACAAAGAAATTAGTGTCATTCAACCAATATTTTTCTGAAAGAAAACAAAAAAAGAATTAAAAAAGTTCCAGCTGTCCCAGAAACCCAGACACATTCAGGGCTTTGCTTTTTAAGGCAACCCAAACAATTTTCAAGAGAACCATTTTCAGTTCTGAAATTAAACCAACCTGCATTTTCACTCGGGTCTAGTATGTAACTGCATGAGCTGAGCTGTAAGCCGGCCCTGGCCGCGAGGAGGAGGTTGGCTTTACAAAGGCCTGCGCTCCCATAGACACCACACTGAGTCAGGAGCTCTGATTTAAAGCTTTTTGGCCTGTCAGTTAATTACAAGTATGTCCAAGCATTAGCAAAGTAGGCAGCAGGATCTGATTACTGACTTGGGGTGTTACAAAAACACACAACAGCCCTAGCGAGATAATGAAAGCGATCCTATATATAGCAGTTAGTGGGATCAGAGCCTCTCCTTATTATCAGTTATTACAAACCGCATTAAAGAATACGCACACTTGTCTCTGGCTCCCTCCAGCAAACGACAAGCACTGGCGAGGCACAGATGCTTCTGCGAGAGCGATATTTTGAATACTACAGATGACCTGTATGTGGCATAACGCAGCCCCCAAAAAGCTACGTGCGGCCTTTGCGAAGCGCTTGTATAGATGCCTAAATTGGGGCATGCACGTACTTGCATGTCTACAAACTCAGTCCTGCAAGGGACCAAGTTTCCTGACCCTACTGAGGGAAAGGCACAAAACGCAGCTCCCTGCGAAGCCCAGAGAGCCTCCGTCAGGGCCGAGGCCTGTTAGCCCTTCGCAGGCTGCCCTTCTGCACAGATAAAACAACTGATACTCGTTAGGATGACTCCTGGGCTTAACTGATCGGTTAAATGAGGGCCAGACCTTGCAGTTTCTCATGCCCACATATTTTGCTGAACTGGGACCAAACCCAGACAACCGCAGCATGTCCAGCTGGGCTTCATCTTCTCCAGCTCTGCGCAGATGTTTCATGCTCCCTTTGCTCATTTAAAGACTGTGTCTCCTCCTCCCCCCCCCCCCCCCCCCCCACCCCCAGATTTCTGCCTTCCAAAGCTCGGCACGTCTATAGCCAAACCAACATAACCTACTGCTCTCGGTCACCCACAGCATCGCCCACAACATCCCTGAGCGTAGCCATTACGTGCTCTCCTGCAAGCGTCTCTACGCTCGGCTGCGTACATCACAGCAGGCTTTCCCCCACCTGCCAAAGTGTGCTCCACCTTGCTTTGTATTTCCTAGATACAGGCAGGTAAACAGCAGAAAAACACTTTGTGCTGAATCCCATTTCACATAGAGAATTTGCTATGTTTTGGGATAAATGGAAGGGGGAAATGACTTTCAAAGCTTCTTAATGCTATTTTATTCCTGTTCCCAAATAAGTATAATACAAAAAGTTAAATCACCCTTCAACACGGTATGGATGGCCCCAGGATATGTCTGAGGCGATGTCAGTCTACAAAACCTATAATTATATCTCATCATTTCATGTCATTGCTTATTGATTTAATTCCAGCATATTTCAGGTAATTGTTATTGTCTAGATACAGATCATCATATTAATAAATGGAAGCATGTATGCATATATCAAAAACCTGCCTGCTACCAAACCAATTTTAAGAATGAATTCAGGAGAAATGTTTCAACAGAAGTCCCTTCCAGAAGCAATTGCTCCAGGAACAGGAAAGACCAGACAACTATTTTTCTAGTTCTAATATTACATATATTGTCATTTCATATCAAAACTTCTTTCTTTTGTCTTTTTTTTAAACAGAAAAGATTGATGTGAAAAGGAGGAAATCAACAGTTTCTAGAACAAGGTATAGCTAAATATTATATCTAAACATATACCCTTGAATGTGCTTGATCATAAATTCAACTTTGCTGGGAAACATTTTGGAATACGAAATTAATAATGTGGATATTATAAAATGGCTGTCTTGGAATTAAATTTTAAGATATTGATATGTCATAATAATAAAATAGAAAACACTTGTAATATCAACAGAGAGCACCGTGATCATTTTTCTTATTTTGTAGTTGGCACTTTTCCTATGCGGAAACCTTGAAAAGGAAAACATACACCCCAACAAACTGTAAACCATTAAAGATTTGTACACAGCAATGCCTCCTGAAGGATTAAGCCCTAATCACAGCACTGTCTCTGTAGCCAAAGTTGGACACGTATTAAATAATTAGCTGAATCAGCTCCTAAAAATCTGTCTGTAGTGTGAAACAGAATTCAAACAGAAGACATTCATCAAATTTACCTTGAGAAAAAACACGAACAATTTTTTTTTTCTGATTAATCAGGTATCTTTTAGGAGTATCTCCTAACCTGCGTTCTCTGCAGTTTACTTCTTTTTCTGTGCTTTCTCTTTTTTGGCTTCTTGTCTCTCCTTCTCCACAGACGTCTGTGCTTACCTGCATGTTGTACTGCAAGATGGGAAAATCCCAGACTACCACAATTTTTCGGCCCAATCCTGCGTTAGTTATCCTGGAAAAAAACGTACTATTCCTACTTACGCTTAACACAATCTGCAGAAGCGCTGCGTAGTCCGCCCAGCGGAGCGGGCGTGAGCTGCCACCCGCAGCGCTCTCGGACCCCGGGTCCGGTCGCACCGACGACCCGGGCTGCTGCATCGGGCTCAGGGCTCCCTGCGAGCACCGCCCGCCCGGCGGCCGCTTCCCCTCCTTCCTCAAACACCCTTCACCC